AGGCAGTCTGCAGTAGTTGTGGCACACGGGCTCAGTAGTTGTGGCTCACGGGCTCTAGAGCACAGGTTCAGTAGTTGTGGCACTCAGGCTTAGTTGCTCCACGGCATGTGGGATCTTCCCGGACCAGGGATCAAACGGAATCCCTGGCGGATTCTTAACCATTGCACCACCAGGGAAGTCCCTTCTACGTGTAAATTTTTGATCTCCCTGAGGCGAGGATTTAATCTGATCTTTTTCTACTTGGGTACTTAGTTGTCCCAACATAATTTATTAAATGTCTGTCTATTTGATGACTCTTTTTCAAATATCTGATAAGCCTCCCAGAAGCTCTATAATTGGTATTGATTCTATTTGATAAATAGATCCAAAATGATACAATGGAGATAAGAGCTATTTTGTCAGTGGCTGGGATTCAATTAGATACACGTATGTAAATCCCTTAGCACACAGCACCTGCTAATAGATGGTATTTTTAAAAATCACTGCACTCAATGAGAATCCCCTGAGACACAGAATCAGCCCGGGCGGTGTGGCGGCCACAGGGCAGCCGGCAGATAATTGAACAGGAAAGCCTTCTTGCTTGTGTTGTTGCACTAATTCGGCCCCATTGCTGAAAATAGTTATAAAAAGAACCAAAGTACAATCTGTATTTCTTTATTCAGTGCCTCTCAGTCTCTCCTTACACTTCCAAACGATTTTCATTTAAGTCCATTTTTTTACCTTTTGATTTGAAATTCCAACTTTATCACATACTAAATCCCCATACGTATTTGGGTCTATTTCTGATTTTCTAATTTTGTTCCGCTGTTCTGTGGGCAGCACGTAGTCCCTTGCGCTCGTTTTAATTATTAAGGCTTCGTGGAACGCTTTACGAGGGTGCTTTAGGGTTTGCTCGTTACTCTTCTTTACGGGGTTTTCCTGGCTGTCCTCTTTTGTTTAGTTTTCATATCATTTTTTTGAAATCAGCTTTTCTAGAAGCAGAGAAACAAGCTTGTTGGTACTTTTAATTATAAGGCTTGCATTAAATTTAGAAGTCAATTTAGGGAGAATTGGCGTATCCACGATGTTGAGCCAATTGTCCCAGCCAAGAGCATGCAAATCAACTTTGGGGTCTTTGAAGGTCTTTCTCATGCGTATTTCGCACATTCCTTGTTACAGGTATTCACAGATACTTTATCTTTTTTGTTGTTGCTATTGTGAGGTTCTCTCTCCCATATCTTCTACACGGTACACACACACACACAATCTGCCGATCACTATAGACATATATGAAGTCTACTGTATATTAACACAATATTGATTAATTTTAATATATTATTAATTTTAATATTTTTTAATTTATTTGGGGGGGTCTTTTTTTTTAACTTGCTCCAGTTTATTTTATTTTACTCTTTCGTCTGCATTGGGTCTTCGTTGCTGTGTGTGGGCTCTAGGTGCGCGGGCTTCAGTAGTTGTGGCACGTGGGCTCAGTAGTTGTGGCTCTCAGGCTGTAGAGTGCAGGTTCAGTAGTTGTGGCGCACAGGCTTAGCCATTCTGCGGCATGTGGGATCTTCCCAGACTCGGGCTCGAACCCATGTCCCCTGCATCGGCAGGTGGACTCTTAACCACTGCACCACCAGGGAAGTCCTTATTTTAATTTTAAAAGAAATCTGCTAAACTCTCTTATTATTCGTGCTCATTTAAAATGGATTCTTTATTGAATCTGATTTCCAAAATAGTGATCGTTTTTATGCCTCTGATTTCTTTCTCTTGCCTGATGGCGCTGATGATGGGTATCTAGTTCAGTGTTACACAGGGGTAATGGTATTGGGGAGTCCTGTCTTATTTCTGACTTTAACGGGAGGAAGTCCAGAGTCTCCTCATTATGTACAGGGCTGAGTTTGGGGCTGGTATTTATATGAGTATAATGTTATACTGTTGCTAAGTTAAGGAAGAATCCGTCAGTTCCTATCTTATGAAGCATTTCTTTTTAACTTCAAGAATGACTGATGAATTTGGGAAATGCTTTTTCTGAATGAATAGAGATAATCATAAGGGTTTTATCCTTAAATCTATTAACATTATGGGTTATATGAATAGATTTTCTAATATTAACTTGCTTTTTCACTTTGGCTTCGAACTCTACTTGGTAATAGATTATTCTTTAAGAGTTGATGGATCGGACTTCCCTGGTGGCAGAGTGGTTACGAGTCTGCCTCCCAATGCAGGGGACACGGGTTCGAACCCTGGTCGGGGAGGATCCCACGTGCCGCGGAGCCATTAAGCCTGTGCACCACAACTACTGAGCCCGTGCGCCACAACTACTGAAGCCTGCGCACCTAGAGCCTGTGCTCCGCAACAAGAGAAGCCACCACAATGAGAAGCCCATGGACCGCAACGAAAAGTAGCCTCTGCTCGCCGCAACTAGAGAAAGCCCGTGAACAGCAACGAAGACCCATCGCAGCCAAAAATAAATTAATTTAAAAAAAGAGAGTTGATGGATCCTATTTGCCAATATTTTATTTAAGGGTTTAGCATTGATATTTGTAAGTTACACTGAGTTCTCTTTGTGTGCAGTCTTCATCAGGTTTTGGCATCAATAGTACACTTCTTCAGTTAAAAAAATCTGTAAGTTTTCCTTCTTTGTCTATGCTATGGAGTAGTTTTAAAGATGGGTAGACTTTCCCTGGGAAACTGTCTGATTGGGTGGGATTCGGGGGGGTCTTAAACTACTTTTTCTATTTCTTATTTGGAAATTATCTGTTTGGTCTTCCTATGTTTATGAGTCAATTTTTTGCTAGAAAATTAAATTTCATCATGGTTTAAATTTTATTTTAAACAAATAGTTGCTTAAATTAGTTAGTACAAATTAGTCATTTAAATTAAAGACATTGTTTGTCTCCGTGGTTATTTCTCGCCTTTTGTCATTTTTATTTTGTGTATTTGTACTTTCTCTCCCCTTTTCCTTCACCCAGTTAGCTAGTCACTTACTTACTTTTTCCAAAGTGCCAGATTATTTCTTTCTACAGCTTTCTATTTTCTCACTTCTTTTGTCTTTATTAACTCCTTCCTTTTTTTTTTAAACATCTTTATTGGAGTATAATTGCTTTACAATGGTGTTAGTTTCTGCTGTATAACAAAGTGAATCAGCTATACATGTACATATATCCCCATATTCCCTCCCTCTTGCGTCTCCCTCCCACCTTCCCTATCCCTCACCTCTAGGTTTCTCTAATGATTAGTGCTGCTGAGCATCCTTTCATGTGTTTGTTGGCATTCTGTATACCTTCTTTGGTAACTCCTTCCTTCTCTCCTATCAGTTATTTTTGTTTTTCATTTACTAATCTTTTAATTCAGTGATGAATTCATTTGTTTTCATTCTTCCTCTTTTAAAAATTGATATATTTGAATTTAAGGCGATGTGTTTTCCATGAAGCACTGCTCACAGGTCCTAACATGTAGTGCTTTCATTATCTTTGATTTTTAGGAATTGTGCAGTTGGCTTTATATTTGCCCTTTGACCCAAGTTGTTTAGGAAAAAATGTGTAGATTTCCAAGTAGGATGCATTTTCTGTTTCCTTATTTTGTTATCAATTTCTGGTGTTATTGCATTATGATCAGAAAATCTTGTATTTTCCTACAGTTTGGAAAGTTACTGAGGTTTTCTCCGTGGCTAAGTGTACGGTCGGCATTTGTGAATGTTCCAGGGCCACGTGGAGAGGTGGTGCCTGTCCCTGTAGCTATGCTGGAAATGCCTCCCTCACGTCCGCCTTACTGATCATCTTGTTGGGCTGTGAATATGGTTGCTTTTGCACTGGTTCTGCCACGGACTAAGAGGCAGAGTCAACGCCCCTCTTACCAACAGAGCCAGCCTTTCTCTGTGTCTCCCGACATGAGGATGTGTCTTCTGGCGGGTATTTTTTGGCCATGCCACGGCATGTGGGATCTTAGTTCCCTGACCAGGGATGGAACCTGTGCCCCCTGGAGTGGAAGCGTGGAGTCTTAACCACTGGACTGCCAGGGAAGTCCCTGAAGCTGTATCTTAAACAACCGTCTACTCCTTTCCTCCATGCAGTAGCCTTGAAGAAAGAACATGCCCTGTCTGAGGTTTCTGGGAGGACAGCGTATCTTCCTTCGCCCTTGCCATCTTATCTGGCTGCCTGGGTCTGTAGAAATCTCTGCAAAGGAAGGGCAGGGGCAAGGAGGAGCCGGGGGTCAGAGGTGGCCGCTGGGCCTGGGGAAGCAGCCCTGGGGCCCAGACGGCAGCAAGGACCCCAGAGACAACAGCGAGCCCCTCGTTCAGAAAACCTACCTGGGGCCTCTGTGCCAGCTGTGGCAAGAGCAGGGCAGACAGACACTGACAATCTCACCACCGACACTGTGTGGGCCCAGCTCTGTCGCCTTCTGTCACCTTTGTTCTGGAGCTCCTGGCCTGTCCGGTCAGGGACAGCTGGCAGAGACATGAGGGCGGCCAGGCCATGCCAACTGCCAGGCCTCCTTCAGGGCCATGGTCCTCAAATATTGCTTCCACATTCATTAAAGGATTCAAGGGGAAAAAGCGTTTTCTATTTATTAAGTACTCTTGATGTTCAAAACAAAGCATTTGGGGACTTCCCTGGTGGTCCAGTGGTTAGGACTCCGTGCTTCCACTGCTGCGGGCATGGGTTCAATCCCTGGTCGGGGAATTGAGATCCCACAAGCTGCAAGGCCAAAAAAAAATTTTTTTTGAAATAAAAAAACAAAGCATTCATTACGCGTGATTTTTCTGAGCCAGCCAAGTTCCTGGTCAGCACTGCTTTTCAGTGACCAGGCCATGGATGCGTCTATCTCAGACTTTAGGGCAGCACGCCTCCTTCATGACACGGATCAGGCTGCGTCTTAGGTCAGGTCGGGTGTGAGCCAGACTTGGTGCAGGTGGGTTTTCTTTGTCGGTGGCCCCAGAAAGAGGAGGAAGAGCGTGGGGGAGGGGGGCAAGGACCAGGCGCGCAACGGTGACTGTCGTTGAGCTCACTATCTCCGTGGGCTCAACCCGCCACCAGGCCTGCTTGGGAGCCGTGCACCCCACACTGTGAGGTTTGCACATTGATCCCCCAACTCATTGAGGGAGGGCCTGATGGTGTCGGTTTCCCACCACTTCCTGCTCAGGCTGCACTGGAGGCCCCAGCGGGTCCTGGAGGCGGGACCCTACCCGTGCCAGGGCTGCCCAGCTGCAGTTGAATCAGAGCGAGCTGCGGGCATGGGGCCTGGGGCACTCTACGTGGCTGCTGGAGTCTGAGTCACCACGCAGGCCACTGTGAGCGGAGGATTATGGGGGAAGAGACACACCCGGAGATCTGGGTTAGCTGACCCCGCCCTTCCTGCTTATGCCCGTGGAGCTTGGTGTCGTTGGAGGCTGGCATTCTGGGCGGCTCAGCCTTCCCACCCACCACTCTCTTCTGCCCCCGGCCCCCGGTATTAGGTGTGCCAGTAGCTGGCACAAGAGCCACGAGCCCTGCTCCCACAGCTGACTTCTGCCACCGGGGAGGAGGGCGGCCCCCTGGTGGAGCAGGTGGAGGGAGGCCGTGTGGGGCCCTCCTGCACGGCGGTCATTCCTGCCCCTGCCTTCTGTCCGCATCCGGCAGGGACCCAGGTGAGGGACCCAGGGAGGTTTGGGCATGGAAAGGCCTCTTGGGGGATAACCTCAGCTTGAAAGGAGAGGGCGAGAATCCAGCCTGTCAGAAAGCCAAGAAAGAAGCAACTGAGCTAAAAATAGGAGCATTGAACAGAATGTCCGGAAATGCCATCCACAGTGCCAGGTTTGATTTCATTGTTGCTAATTATTTAAGTCACATTATGCAGAATAAAACCTGGGAAGAGGATACTGTGTCTAGACAAACAAATGTGGAAAGTGATGCACAAAGCCAGTAACAGTGAACAGTGACCTGAGCCCATTATTGAGACTACGAGGAGGGCAGGTGGGCTGGGGCTTCCGCCCGGTTTGTCCCCCAGCTCTGCCCTTTAACCCGCTGTGCCTCGGGTCCTCCCGGATAAAATGGGATGAGGTGAGGCGCCACCTCCCGGAGCTGTGGCTTCTGGGAGCTCCCGAGCGCACTCACCGTGTTCCTGGAGAGGCCCAGCACCAGGGGCTGTTCTCTGAGCTGCCACGGGGTGAGCACTTCCTCTGTCTGTTCCTCTACTTCCCCATCTGTGAAATGGAGATAGGAATACCTGTCTCAAAGGTTCTGAGGGAATTAATTGCGTAGCACACATATTTTGGAGGGGAAAATTCTATCACGATCCCTGCTTTCAGCTGAGAAAATTGAGGCTCAGGAAAAGGAAAGAAAACCAAGTATCCTGCTCAGAATCAGCTACCTAGCCAACGGTGCAGTGCGGCTCTGTTCTTTTTTGTATACAGTCGGGCTCCTTACAGACAAGTGGAAATGCAGATAAGGTGGAAAAAGGGCGAAGTCACCGCCAGGGCAAGACAGTTGGATGCATTTCCATCCAATCTCTTTTGAAATAGTTTTTCTTTCTTTGTTTTTTTTTTTTTACTTTTATGTAGTGGTGATCATATCACACCTTCATGTTTGTTAAAGACTTTTTTTTTTTTAGTTTTTTAAAAGCCAATGTTTATTCCTTTTAAAAGGCTCCAGAGACTTTAAAAAGGTCCAAAGGCCTTAAAGATATCCAGGTTTCAGATGATAACAGGCAGGCACTGACTGTCGGTTTCTCTGTTGCTAAAGCCTCAGTTTCAACCTGTTTAATTCTATCCCTCCAAGATTCTTCCAGCTGGGGAGTGGCGGATTCCTCCGACTTTCAGCGTACTTCATCAAAGGTACCACGCCAATAAGGAGGGGAAAAACAGTGCTAGTAGCAATCATCGTCATGGCAAGGAAGAAAGTTTTATGATCCAGGAATCCACTTTAACAATCAACATTAGGGCTTCCCTGGTGGCGCAGTGGTTGAGAGTCCGCCTGCCGATGCAGGGGACACGGGTTTGTGCCCCGGTCTGGGAAGATCCCACATGCTGTGGAGCGGGGGGGCCCATGACCCATGGCCGCTGAGCCTGCGGGAGAAGCCACAACAGTGAGAGGCCCACGTACCACAAAAAACAAAAACATCAACATTATACGATTTTCCAGACTATCATAAACACCTTCTAAACACTATTTTGATGGTGACATAATTGTTCATCAAATAAACACAGCATAATTTATATAACATAGTCATTATTATTTATTTTCACTGTTTTCAATTTTTGGCTACTGCCAACAACGCTGCCACGTGTGTTTTTATCCATAAAGGTTTGGGAGAGACTGTTTCCTTAAAGAGATCTAGAAATGGAATTGTTGGGTCAGAGGATGAAAGGGTGCTACTGCTGTTTAAAAAGGTGGCATCTCAGAGAATCCACCAAGGCAGAGAAGCCACTGTCCAGGTGTGCTGGGCTGCTTGCTTTCCCACACCCTCACCTTCCTCAGCCTCCCCCCACCCCCAACCAAGTTTTTATTAATTTAGTAGAAAAAAATTTATATGGCACTTCCTCTATGACTCATGAGGGAGATTATTTCTCCACATAATCATTACTACTCCTATTTCCCTTTTGTGGACTATTTGCTCCCCTGAGGCTACCATTTAGGGAAGGCTTGGTTAAATGTAAGGAAACACCTGCCCCAGAGGCTCAGGCCCACTCTGCCTTGCCCTGCCGAGCGCTGCCCGTGGCGATGTTCCTGAACATCTGGTGAGCGAAGGAGGTGCGGTTAGAGGAGCTGGCATGCTGTGGAACGGTAAAAGCAATACACAGTGTACCTGGTGGATTCTTTGGAAACTCGTGTGTTACATCTTGCAAGTCGGTTGAGTTTATCAAACTTCTATTTTGAGACTGTGTAGATTCATACGCAGTTGTATGTAGAGCTCCCATGCACCCTTTATGTAATAGGGAAAAACAAACCTGACTTCATACTGGATCTTTCTTTTACTTTAATCTTTATGTTCTACTGCTTTTGCCACAAGTTAATCAGTAGAAGGATGTTGCCTATAACTTAAGGTAAACATAATGGCCCATCTCTGGGAACCCTGCCTCCCATGCATGAGCTTAAGCTAAAATACCTTTTCTTCAGTTCACCAGAAACACCCTGACCAGGCCCACCTGTAAATGGCTGCAGGAAAGCAGAAATTGACACATCCCTTCCGGGAGTCTGGCTGGAACCAGGAAATATTTGCAACAACTTAGGGCCTTTATAACTTTACCTCCTCACCTCCCCCTCTTTGCTCTATTAAAGAAACTAGCATCCAAACCTGGGCAAGACGGTTCTTTGGGACACTAGTCCATCCTCTCCTCTGTCTGCTGGCTTTCCCAATAAAGTCGCTATTCCTGCCCCAACACCTCATCCCTCGATTTATTGGCCTGTGTGTGGCAAGCAGTACAAGCTTGGACCTGGTAACATTTACCCAGGTTCCCCCAGTGGCAGCGTCCGGCAAAACTCTAGCGCAGTATCACATCCAGATGCCGACACTGGTGCCGTCCAGACTCACGACATTCCATGCACACAGGTCCCTCCTGCTGCCCTTTTACAGACGCATCCACTCCCTCGTTACCCCCACATGCCCCTTACCCCTTGGCAACCAATAAACTGTTCTCCACATCTATAATTTTGTCATTTCAAGACTGTTCCATAAATGGAATCATATAATATATAACCTTTGGGGGTTAGAGTTTTTTCTTTTTTCTTCTTTTAAAAAAAATATTGGCTGCGTTGGGTCTTCATTGCTGCGCGCGGGCTTCCTCTAGTTGCGGTGAGCGGGGGCTCCTCTTCGTTGCGGTGCATGGGCTTCTCATCACAGTGGCTTCTCTTGTTGCAGAGCACGGGCTCTCGGTGCGCGGGCTTTGTAGCTGCAGCATGCAGGCTCAGTAGTTGCGGCATGCGGGTAAGTAGTTGTGGCTCGCGGGCTTAGTTGCTCCGCAGCATGTGGGATCTTCCCAGACCAGGGATCGAACCCATGTCCCCTGCATTGGCAGGCGGATTCTTAACCACTGCGCCACTAGGGAAGTCCTAGAGTTTTTTCGTTCAGCATAATTCTGTCAAGATCCATCCAGGTGGTTGTGTGTATCAGTAGTTCAGTCTTTTTCGTTGCCGCGTGGTCTTTCACAGTACCGATGGACCACACATTGTTTAACCAAAGGACACCTGGGTGGTTTCCAGTTTCAGCTACAGTAATCAACCTGCTGTGAGCATGTGCTGGCCCACCTTCGGTTTTGGCACAGCCCTCTGTGGAGAGGGCCTGAGCAGAGGGGCAGAGCAAGCCCAGGGCGGTGTGTCCTTAGACAACGCATCTGCAGTATCCCAATACATAATTGAACAGGCGCTCTGCAGCCTGAAGACAATGTAATGGGCTACCAGGAAAGAGCATTTGGGCTCAAGTTCCAGCAACCTTTAAAAAAACAAATGCTGTCTCAGCAGAAAAGGATCTGAAAGAAAGAAGAATGGACATCGATGAATAGAAATAGCATCATTTTCACCAATATTGAAAGGAATTGCTAAGCCAGTATGTATGCTGAATTCAAGCATTTTCTAAATTCCCATGTGAAAAAAATAAATCTCTGATAGGTCTGCTTGGGGGAAAAATAGCCCAGGAGCCCCCTTACTGCCCTTGAGCCAGAGTGTTGCCTGGGATAGAGCGCAAGATCTTCGATCTCCCCTTCCCTCCACCCAGAAAGAAAATTCTTCCAAGCAAGAGTTGGCCAGTGGGGCCAGGCCACAGCATTGCCGTGAAGGAAGAATTGTTAGTGTCTGTCTTCTCAGAGTCTCTCTGGACTTAGTTCTCTGTTAGAATAGACTAAAGACGTGGAGACCTGGCCTTGGAGTCTACATTTGGTATCTTCTGTTTCGTATTTTATTTTTGTTATTTGAGTAGATGTAAAGTGATATGTCGTTGTCACTTTTTTTTTTTTTTTTTTTTGCGGTACACGGGCCTCTCACTGCCGTGGCCTCTCCCACCGTGGAGCACAGGCTCCAGACGCACAGGCCCAGCGGCCACGGCTCACGGGCCCAGCCACTTCGCGGCATGTGGGATCCTCCCGGACCAGGGCACGAACCCGCGTCCCCTGCATCGGCAGGCAGACTCTCAACCACTGCGCCACCGGGGAAGCCCCTCTTTGTCACTTTAATTTGTGCTTCCCGGATACCTAATGGATGCTGAGCATCTTTTCATGTGATAACTGCCCGTTCGTGGCTGTCCTCTCTCTCTTTTACCTTTTATTATTTTTGTATTTTGGCCTCACCGCGTGGCACGCGGGATCTAGTTCCCTCACCAGGGATTGAACCTCTGCCCCCTGCATTGGGAGCGTGAAGTCTTAACCACTGGACCGCCGGGGAAGTCCCTCTTTGTAGGTATTCTACTGAGGTTTTCCTGAGTCTCTCGATTTGTAAGTCAAGAATTCAATGCTTTCCATCAGACTTGTGGATTTCTGCCCTCTTCTCACTGTCTTCCTGGTAAGCCCTGTGGAACCTTATCCAGTGAGTGCTGAGCACAGCTGAGGCCGAGCCTTACGCTGAGCCCCACGCACACTTCTGGCTCTCATCCGTACCTCCTGCTCTGCCGCCCTGCCTCACAGGCTCCAGCTGTCCTAGACCCTGACCTCTGCCTGCTCACCCAGCCTCCAAGCACAGTGCCGCACTGTGCACACGCATTTAGCAGCTGTGTTCACACTCAAACTGTTTCACATACATTTACCTTATTTCATTTGCAAAAGTTTCCCCAAACCTACTTTCCTTGCGTAAGAAATGTACATGCAGTTAAAGTAAGGTTTTATTTTGTGGCATTCCCAGAAGGTGCCTACTCCGTGGAAGGCCCTGTGTGGCTGGGTATTGGGGGTGGGGACACGAGTAAAAGGCAGCCCCTAGTTCAAGAATTTTACAGCGTCACGGAGACAGGAAACTAGTGTTGTGGCAATGCAGAGAAAGGTGGTTGCTTCCAACCGCGGGGCAGAGTTTGTGGCAGTCGGCCTCCCAGGTGCGCCTTGAGGAGGACAGTGGTGCCGGAGAGTCTAGGTTGTATTGAGAAGGTATATAATCTTGTTCTACTTCATGGCAGCAATATTACTTCATAAAACCAATGTAACGACAAACACAAGACCAAGAGTGTTGCAAGGGGTAACTGCCATTCGCTCAGTGGTGGGAATTAACCCGGTGTCCTAATGATTCCCCCGAGGCATCAGGCCTCTGGTAGAAATAACAATGCTAGGCTACGGGCGGCAACCCACACAGGTGAGAAATGGACACGCTCGTGTCCACTTGTTGATGTCGGTGACTCCCGGGGTCCATGTGTCGGTGTCAGCGACCCCCAGGTGGTCCCCCTGTCCGGATGTCTGAGACCCCCGGCTGGTCCCCGTGTCCGCACGCGGCTGTCAGCGACCCCCGGGTGGTTCCACGGGCTCCGGGTCAGCGACCCCCGGGGCCGTCCTCGACGTCGGGCACTCCTGCGGGCGATGCTTGTGGGCGCCCCGCTGCGAGTACCGGCTGCCCTCCCCACGCCAGCCCTGTCCGCCCGAGAGCGCCGGCCTGGGGGGCGGTTCCCGGCCGTCCAGTCCCTACGGTAAGGGACCCACGCGGGACCCACAGCGGCCCACGTCCGGCCCGCGCGGATTTCGGCCCCGAGACGCGAAGGATACCTCCGCCGACACTCGCGCAGCCTGGATCGCCTTTCCGCCTTTCGTCGGAGGACCGAGTCCGCTCGGCGGAAAGGCCTCCCCTTTAAGGCGCGCGCCCCGGAAGCGGTACCACCGCGCGCCGGCACCGGAAGCGGGTGCGGCCGGCGGGCGGCGACGGCGGGCGGCCGGCGACTGCGGGCGGCCGGCTAGGGAGCTACCTCGAGCGGCCGGGCGGGCGTCGCTGTC